AATCATCCCGGTATCCGTATCGCTTCTCCCAGTTACATTATGTGTTGCAACTGGCCATTACATGAAGCCAACAAGAAAAAAACCGATTCGCCACATCTTTGTTTTCGTTCGAAAATTATTATTTGTACTGACATCTGTGAATTCTGTTTTGAGCTCCGAACATAGTGTAGATGTTGCACGAGTTTACTTGCCTAAAATCTACATTTTATTTATGCCGAATTAGATTTTTTTAAATTAAATGATGAGTTTGTCGTGTAAATGAGTCTTGAGCTATAAAGCCCTAGACAAGTGTGTGGACCTGGTGAAAGCTATTCGAAACAAATTGCCCAATCTGTGTGCACGCGAACACCTGAATTCAAATCAAATAGATTGCAGTCCTCTCTATTCGTGTGGACGTGTGATAAATGTAAGCCATTTTGGAGAAGGAATTCGATATCTGTTTCGACCTGTTCTGGAGGACTTGTCAGCAGTGTGTAGTTTTTGTGTCCCTGTCAAGACTGGAACCGCGATCGATCGGGTGCGGACTTCAAACCCTTACCCCTGAGCTACATGGTCGACGTTTATCACCTTGTGCGAATGGCTCAATCAATTTAGAGTACCGAGTTTCGATTGGCCCATTCGATTATTCAGAGGCATCAGGCACTCTTGATGGTCTTGAGTGCGTGTTTCACTCCCTGGGAGATCGTGAATTCCCCACTTTTGGTATGCATTCAAATGCGATGAAAATGTTTGTGATAACCGACAAAGAGCAGTGGACAGCTGTTTCGACCTGTTCGGGACAAGAGTGCCTGGTACCTCTTAACAATCGGAATGGGTTAACCCAAGCTTACTACCGTAGAATAACGAGCAAGCTAGTAAATGTTCACATCACCAGCAGTATGAAATGATTGCATCGGACACTGCCGTCGCCTTGATTCTCTCCACCTACCACGAAGTCAACAGAAGACCAGGTTATCCTAAAATGCGTCAATGAAATCATACGGTAATTCATGAAATAAAGATTTGTGCTACCAAACAACAGTCATGTTGTAATACGTGACAAGCGTTCTGTTGTGTCACAAAGAGCTTTGATTGCTGTCAAAAATGGCATCAAGTGCAGTTCAGTCGAGGTCAACAGTCAGAATGAATTGGATAGTGAGTGCACTGCAATCCAATCACTAAGACAATTAACCAATCAAAAATAGATGAGAATAAATTCACCATTGGTGCACGGGATCGGTCTAATCGGTGTTTGTGTCAATCGATGGATCAGCGAATGTCAGGTGGTTACAAATCCGAGTACACACGAATCTGATTAGTAGGACAGGATTTCTACACATAGTGAAGGTGTCGTCACGATTCACGAGTGAGAGTGGGTGGCTGAAACTCTGACTTCGTTCATTTCACCATTACTTTTGTGTTCTGTATCGTTCCCCCAATAGCGGTGACTCTTCCATGTTTGATTTTCTATCTTCGAACATTGAACATTTATTTGTAACCGACCCCAACTGCCAGGTTACCATCTTGGGAGATTTTAAAGTTCACAATCAGGATTGGTTGACACATTCATCTGCTACTTCTCCGTTGGGGCGAGAAGCCAAACACTTCGCTTTGGTCAACAACCTGAGCCAACCAGTTGACCTCCCCACACGTGCCCCTGATCTAGCTGGCGATCGTGCCCAGACTCTCGATCTAATTCTCACTTCGGTCCCTTCTTTCTTCTCAGATATTCGTACCCTCCCTCCTCTTGGCTCATCACATCAGTGTATTGTTTCTTGTTCCATTAGGTTTTCAAACTCCGAGCCATCACCCACCTCGAGACACATTCTGGTGCTACAACTCAACCATCCGGGACGGTTTCCGTGATTTCCTAGCTGCTTATTCCTGGAACGATTGTTGTTTCTCTTCGGATGTTTCCAAATCCGCTTCCAACTTCACCCACGTTGTTCTACAAGGTATGCATCACTTTATTCCGCAATTTTTCCAAACCCGACAAACCCAAATCCCCTGAGTGGTTTAACCATGCATGTGACCTTAAAAGTTCAGCCTTTCGCCACTGACGCCGCTCGCCCACCCGCTTCCTCTCCCAACATCACTTCGTGCAAGCTAGGAACAGATGCTTGACGACCATTCAGAGAATCAAAGAACACTTCGTTCGCCGCAAAGCCAAAAACTTGGTCTCGTCCGCCACCGATAGCCGAACATTTTGGTCCCTTGCCAAAGCAATTTACCATAGTTTCTACTCTTTCAACTTACTCCTATCCGCAATTCCTCTGGTGATCTTGTATGTCAACCAAACGAGAAAGTTGACGCTTTTGCTTCCCATTTTGCCGCCGATTCCACTTTTTCTAGACCTTTATCTCCTTCCTTCGTCACTGGCAACCCTTTTATACCTTGTATCAATACTAAAAAAATCCCTCAAACATTGCGCACTCCAAACGAAAACAAATCACCCAGTCCGGACGGTATTCCACCCATCGTCCTCAAAATGTGTGCTCCGAGCTAGATCCTGTCTTACATCGCTTTTTCAGTCTTTACCTCCAACTTTAGTCCTTTCCAAAGCCCCGGAAACACGCCGTGATTTTTCCCATTCCCAAACGCGGCGATCTTTCTAACCCCAACAATTACCGACTCAGTTCCCTCACATCTACTCTTTCGAAAGTATTTGAAACCATCATCTCTGGCGAGGCAGGTAGCGGTTGAAAAAAAATGCAGAGCGGTCAAGCTAAGACCTGGCATGAGGGTATGAAAACCCTCAATGGAGACTGGCTTACAAGGTATCGTTAGGCTCCCTGGCTGGAGACCCAGAGATCATGGTCACCGGTGGTTCGAGACATTGAGCGATATGGCTGGGTGTCGCAACCAGTGACGCTCATGCATTTACTCATTATTCTTGTAACTTCAGTCTTCCGCTTAAATCTGCTCTCAACATTTTAATCGTCATTCTGCTATTTTATCTAAATGGGCAACCAAAAGACAGCAACCAAAACCGGCACACGAAAGTGCATGATTGTAAGAACTGAACTGAACTGACCAGCTATGCAAGTTCCTTGGACGCGAAGGACTACTGAGCGATTCCCAGTATGGTTTTCGACCACGTCGTTCCATCAGTGACCTTCTGGCTCTTGTCTCACAATCCTAGTCAGCTCCATTCGATAACCACGGGGAAACACACTCGGTCTCGCTTGACATCTCAAAGGCCTTCGACCGAGTTTGGCACGAAGGTCTACTGGCGAAATTACTCATACCCGGGTTCCCTTCAGCGCTCATGGTGTGTATATCAAGTTTCCTCAGTAAGCGAACCATCTGCGTCCGAGCTGATGAGGTACTATCTCAGCCATTCCCTGTAAACGCTGATGTTCCCCAAGGTTCAGTGCTTGCACCCACCTTCTTCCTTCTATTTATCAATTAGATGCTTTACCAAACTGCCAACCCTTCACTGCTCCCTCTCCTACCGCACTGCTCGCAATGTCCAAATCAACATCGATGGTGAGCGTAGTGCAGTTGTTGTGTCAGCGGACTCCGATCTCGAACTCACCTCCTCCTGCGGCGTT